GTGCGTGTCTATGTACAGGTGTGTTTGTGTCTATGTGCGGCTCCTATGACCGCCCACATGTCTGCAGTTGTTCCTGTCTATATAAGCGTGTGTAGGCCTGTGTGTGTGTTTTTGTCTGTCTCTAAGTCTATGGGTATGTGTGTGAGTCTCTGAGTCGGCTCTGTGCATCTGTCTTAGTGTGTGTTGCCGGTATGAGTGTGTCCCCGACTCCACCTCCCTCTGCACCGATATCCGAGTCACTTGGAGTCAGTCTGTCTCTGCGTCTCTGCATTCTTTGAGCCCGTGTCCGAGTCTGCGTATCTCAGACTGTCGATTAGTGCGTGTCAGTGTCTCTGAGTCTGTGTCTCAGTGTGTCAGTCTCTTGAACCCGAGTCTGCCGCAAGCCGCTGCCCGAGTCGCGTGAGTGGTGAGTTCATATATACTACAGCGGCACCGGGAGCCCGGGTGGGAGGGATTCGGGGGGGGGGAGTAGACTGGGGGAGGGAGGAGGAGAACTTGGCCCAGACTCGATTTCAGAACCACTCCCGCATTACACCACCCCCTCCCCCCCCCCCCCCCCCCATGTAATGCACACCCGCATCAGCCACACCACACTCACAATGCACACACCACTCACTCACACAATGCACACACCACTCGCTCACACACTCACAATGCACACACCACTCACTCACACTCACAATGCACACACCACTGACTCACTCACTCACAATGCACACACCACTCGCTCACACACTCACAATGCACACACCACTCACTCACACACTCACAATGCACACACCACACTCACAATGCACACACCACTCACACACTCACAATGCACACACCACTCACTCACACACTCACACACTCACAATGCACACACCACACTCACAATGCACACACCACTCACTCACACACTCACAATGCACACACCACTCACTCACACTCACAATGCACACACCACTGACTCACTCACTGACAATGCACACACCACTCGCTCACACACTCACAATGCACACACCACTCACTCACACACTCACAATGCACACACCACACTCACAATGCACACACCACTCACACACTCACAATGCACACACCACTCACTCACACACTCACAATGCACACACCACACTCACAATGCACACACCACTCACTCACACACTCACAATGCACACACCACTCACACACAATGCACACACCACTCACACACTCACAATGCACACACCACTCACTCACACACTCACAATGCACACACCACTGACTCACTCACAATGCACACACCACTCACTCACACACTCACAATGCACACACCACTGACTCACTCACAATGCACACACCACTCACACACAATGCACACACCACTCACTCACACACTCACAATGCACACACCACTGACTCACTCACAATGCACACACCACTCACTCACACACTCACAATGCACACACCACTCACACACTCACAATGCACACACCACTCACTCACACACTCACAATGCACACACCACTCGCTCACACACTCACAATGCACACACCACTCGCTCACACACTCACAATGCACACACCACTCACTCACACACTCACAATGCACACACCACTCACACACTCACAATGCACACACCACTCACTCACACACTCACAATGCACACACCACTCACTCACACACTCACAATGCACACACCACTCACACACTCACAATGCACACACCACTCACTCACACACTCACAATGCACACACCACTCGCTCACACACTCACAATGCACACACCACTCACTCACACACTCACAATGCACACACCACTCACTCACACACTCACAATGCACACACCACTCACTCACACTCACAATGCACACACCACTGACTCACTCACAATGCACACACGACTCACTCACACACTCACAATGCACACACCACACTCACAATGCACACACCACTCACACACTCACAATGCACACACCACTCACTCACACTCTCACAAATCTACACACCACTCACACACTCACAATGCACACACCACTCACTCACACTCTCACAATGCACACACCACTCGCTCACACTCTCACAATGCACACACCACTCACTCACACTCCCACAATGCACACACGACTCACTCACTCACTCACAATGCACACACGACTCACTCACACACTCACAATGCACACACGACTCACTCACTCACTCACAATGCACACACGACTCACTCACACACTCACAATGCACACACCACTCGCTCACACTCTCACAATGCACACACCACTCACTCACACACTCACAATGCACACACCACTCACTCACAATGCACACACGACTCACTCACACACTCACAATGCACACACCACTCGCTCACACTCTCACAATGCACACACCACTCACTCACAATGCACACACCACTCACTCACAATGCACACACCACTCACTCACAATGCACACACCACTCGCTCACACTCTCACAATGCACACACGACTCACTCACACTCTCACAATGCACACACCACTCGCTCACACTCTCACAATGCACACACCACTCACTCACAATGCACACACGACTCACTCACACACTCACAATGCACACACCACTCACTCACACACTCACAATGCACACACCATTCACTCACAATGCACACACCACTCACAATGCACAACCACTCGCTCACTCACTCTCACACACTCACAATGCACACTCACTGACAATGTACACACTCACTGACAATGCACACTAACTCACAATTCCCACTTACTCACAATGCACACTTACAATCCTCACGAACAATGCTCACTAACTCACGCACACTCAATGCACGCACACTCATAATGCACACACTCTCATAATGCACACACTCACAGTACACACACATCCCACACCGCACTCACTAACAGTGCACACTCGCTGACAATTCACACCCAACTCACTCACAAACTAGCAACGCACACCCCACTCACAATGCACACACTGACAACACACACACAATGCACACACACTCACAATGCACACCCCACTCACTAACACATTCACAATGCATACTCACACACTCACACTGCACACTCACACACTCAAATTGTATGGAATGTGTTGAACTTATTTCGCACCGTACGGAGCCAACCGTGCAAATCAGAGGTGCACATTCACGGACAACGCACACACACACACACACACCGCACGCTCACAACGCACACACACACACCGCACGCTCACTCACCCACAGTGCACAGCCCCCCCCCCCCCACTCACTAACAAACCCACAATGCACACTCATTGACAATGCACACTCATTTGACAGTGCACACTCATTGACAATGCACACTCATTTGACAGTGCACACTCATTGACAATGCACACTCATTGACAATGCACACTCATTGACAACGCACACGCATTGACAACGCACACTCATTGACAATGCACAATGCACACTCATTGACAATGCACACTCATTGACAGTGCACACTCATTGACAATGCACACTCATTAACAATGCACACTCATTAACAATGCACACTCATTGACAATGCACACACATTGACAACGCACACTCATTGACAGTGCACAATGCACACTCATTGACAATGCACGCTCATTGACAATGCACAATGCACACTCATTGACAATGTACACTCATTGACAACGCACATTCATTGACAATGCACACTCATTGACAACGCACACTCATTGACAATGCACACTCATTGACAATGTACACTCCTTGACAGTGCACGCTCATTGACAATGCACACTCATTGACAACGCACACTCATTGACAATGCACACTCATTGACAACGCACACTCATTGACAGTGCACAATGCACACTCATTGACAATGCACAATGCACACTCATTGACAATGCACAATGCACACTCATTGACAATGCACAATGCACACTCATTGACAATGCACACTCATTGACAATGCACACTCATTGACAATGCGCGCTCATTGACAATACACGCTCATTGACAATGCACACTCATTGACAATCCACACTCATTGACAATGCACAATGCACACTCATTGACAATGCACGCTCATTGACAATGCACACTCATTGACAATGTACACTCATTGACAATGCACACTCATTGCCAATGCACACGCATTGGCAATGCACGCTCATTGCCAATGCACACTCATTGACAATGCACACTCATTGACAATGCACACTCATTGACAATGCGCGCTCATTGACAATACACGCTCATTGACAATGCACACTCATTGACAATCCACACTCATTGACAATGCACAATGCACACTCATTGACAATGCACAATGCACACTCATTGCCAATGCACGCTCATTGCCAATGCACGCTCATTGACAATGCACGATCATTGACCATGCACGCTCATTGCCAATGCACGCTCATTGACAATGCACGCTCATTGCCAATGCACGCTCATTGACAATGCACGCTCATTGCCAATGCACGCTCATTGCCAATGCACGATCATTGACAATGCACACTCACTCACAACGCTCCCCCGCCCCACCCATTCACTCGCAATGGTCACCCCACCCATCCACTCGCAGCTCACGCCTGTTATCCACCACCACGTGGGCTCGCGCACCTTTTACTCACGACGCCTCCACGTGACCACACCTGCACCACGCGCCAACACCGGAGGGTGGGGGAGGGGGGGAAGATTTCCGCATCCGGCACATCACGTCGAGTATCCCTCTCGCTACGGCTACCACGACGACTGCTTGCCGCGTGCCACCCCTCGAGCCAAGTCTACTCGAACCGGAGAGTCCTGCGTGAGAAATGTGAACCCTGGGCACATTTAGGGTGAGGGTTAGGGCCAGAGGAATGGCTGGGACTCGTGCTGGTCGATTGGCCAATTGGTTAGGGACGGAGTTAGCATTGTCTGACTGGGTAGGGGATATGAGTAGTATTGTCTGGCTGGGTAGGGGATATGAGTAGTATTGTCTGGCTGGGTAGGGGATATGATCTATATTGTCTGGCTGGGTAGGGGATATGAGTAGCATTGTCTGGCTGGGTAGGAGATATGATCTGTATTGTCTGGCTGGGTAGGGGATATGAGTAGTATTGTCTGGCTGGGTAGGGCTATGAGCTGTATTGTCTGACTGGGTAGGGGATATGATCTGTATTGTCTGACTGGGTAGGGGATATGAGTAGTATTGTCTGGCTGGGTAGGGGATATGAGTAGTATTGTCTGGCTGGGTAGGGGATATGAGTAGTATTGTCTGGCTGGGTAGGGGATATGATCTGTATTGTATGGCTGGGTAGGGGATATGAGTAGTATTGTCTGGCTGGGTAGGGGATATGAGCTGCATTGTCTGGCTGGGTAGGGGATATGAGCTGTATTGTTTGGCTGGGTAGGGGATATGAGTAGTATTGTCTGGCTGGGTAGGGGATATGAGTAGTATTGTCTGGCTGGGTAGGGGATATGAGTAGTATTGTCTGGCTGGGTAGGGGATATGAGCTGTATTGTCTGGCTGGGTAGGGGATATGAGTAGTATTGTCTGACTGGGTAGGGGATATGAGCTATATTGTCTGGCTGGGTAGGGCTATGAGCTGTATTGGCTGGGTAGGGGATATGATCTGTATTGTCTGACTGGGTAGGGGATATGAGTAGTGTTGTCTGGCTGGGTAGGGGATATGAGTAGTATTGTCTGGCTGGGTAGGGGATATGAGCAGATTGTCTGACTGGGTAGGGGATATGAGCAGTATTGTCTGACTGAGTAGGGGATATGAGTAGCATTGTCTGGCTGGGTAGGGGATATGAGCAGTATTGGCTGGCTGGGTAGGGGATATGAGCAGTATTGTCTGGCTGGGTAGGGGATATGAGTAGTATTGTCTGACTGGGTAGGGGATATCAGTAGTATTGTCTGACTGGGTAGGGGATATGAGCTGTATTGTCTGGCTGGGTAGGGGATATGAGTAGTATTGTCTGGCTGGGTAGGGGATATGAGCTGTATTGTCTGGCTGGCTTGGTGAGTGGACAAGCACGTGATCATATCAAGTTTGCCCACTAGTTATGGTTAGGGTTGTGTTTGATTGGCTGGCTAGTTGGGTTAGTTGTAGGGTTGTGTTCGTGTCTGATTGGCTGGCTAGTTAGGGTTAGTAGTAGGGTTGTGATTGTATCCGATTGGTTGGCTAGTTAGGGATAGTGGTAGGGTTGTGATTGTATACAATTGGCTGGCTAGTTGGGTTAGTTGTAGGATTGTGTTTGTGTGATTGGCTGCCTAGTTAGGGTTAGTGGTAGGGTTGTGTTTTTTTGTATCTGATTGGTTGGCTAGTTATGTATAGTAGTAGGGTTGTGATTGTATCTGATTGGCTGGCTAGTTAGGGTTGGTGGTAGGGTTGTGATTGTATCTGATTGGCTGGCTAGTTAGGGATAGTAGTAGGGTTGTGATTGTATCTGATTGGCTGGCTAGTTAGGGTTGGTGGTAGGGTTGTGATTGTATCTGATTGGCTGGCTAATTAGGGATAGTGGTCAGGTTGTGATTGTATCTGATTGGCTGGCTAGTTAGGGTTGGTGGTAGGGTTGTGATTGTATCCGGTTGGTTGGCTAGTTAGGGTTGGTGGTAGGGTTGTGATTGTATCTGATTGGCTGGCTAATTAGGGATAGTGGTAGGGTTGTGATTGTATCCGATTGGTTGGCTAGTTAGGGATAGCAGTAGGGTTGTGATTGTATCTGATTGGCTGGCTAATTAGGGATAGTGGTCGGGTTGTGATTGTATCTGATTGGCTGGCTAGTTAGGGTTGGTGGTAGGGTTGTGATTGTATCCGATTGGTTGGCTAGTTAGGGTTGGTGGTAGGGTTATGATTGTATCTGATTGGTTGGCTAGTTAGGGTTGGTGGTAGGGTTGTGATTGTATCTGATTGGTTGGCTAGTTAGGGTTGGTGGTAGGGTTGTGATTGTATCTGATTGGTTGGCTAGTTAGGGTTCGTAGTCGTGGCTGGGTGATGAGAGGGTTAGAGGCAGAACTGCTGCTCGGTTCCCCGGACAGTAGTGGTGGCTGTGTGGCACGTGACTGCTGTCATCCAGTGCTGCGGAGGCAGCAGCAAGGAGGGTTGGAGGACCACACACGGATGGTGTGAAACTTCCTCGCCATCGGGCGTCGAGGAGGTGCCATGCCCTGGCTTGCTCGGAGAACGCGGGAGAGAAAATTGCGGACGAACCTCCACCCGTTTCCATCTGTACGGGGATAGAGCGTTGCCCCCTCGACCAAGGCGTGGGTTTTCTCCGGCTGCTCCGCTTCCACCCCCCCCTCCCCCCAACGTGAATAACAAACAAACACGACTCATCATTAATTGGCTGAGAACATCTTGAAAATAAAAAAAAACCTCAACGCAGCAGCAAGGACCCTCCCTCCCTCCCGCAAAGCGAGTCGCTGGACTGCGGCTTTCCCGGATAAATTGGCGACGTTCGCGACCAGCGACGATCAGTGGCGGGCCGCTCCTCGTGGTGTTTTTGTTGTTGCGGCGATGGCCACGCAGCGCGCGCTCACACGACCAACGCGTGGCGACTTTAACGACGACAACGACGATCATTACATCAACAACGTCAATAACAACATCATCAATAACATCAACAACAATAATTATAACGACGAAGACTGCGCGGCGGAGTTAATCACAGTCACGAGACGCACAGAGAGACGACGTTTGGCACGCGGCCCCCACCCGCTACCCCCTCCCCCATCCCTCCACCACCACAGCACGAATGGGGGGAGGGGGTGGGGTGCGGAACGGAGACAAAGTTAATAGCTTCATTAATTTACCCGCCAGCTCGTTCACTCACCAGCCCCATTAACCCTCTGACTCATTAACTCACCGGCCCCGTTAACTCACCAGCCCCGTTAACCCTCTTGACTCGTTAACCCTCTGACTCATTAACTCACTGACCCTATTAACTCACCAACCCGTTAACTCACCGGCCCCGTTAACCCTCTGACTCATTAACTCACCGGCCCCGTTAACTCACCGGCCCCGCTAACTCACCAACCCGTTAACTCACCGGCTCGTTAACTATTCATTAGTTAACTCACCGACCCATTATGCAGCGCCTACCTTGACCCACTGATATTTTAAAACCGCACCCTCATTAACGGGCTAAACCATCGACTCATTACACACGGCCTCGTTAACCCATTGACGTATTAATTCAATCGCTCCTCGTTTAACACGTCGACTCATTACGGAACCCACTAATTAACCCCACGATTCATTAATCCATCAACTCATTGACCTGCCAACTACCCATTAACTAAACCACTCACCGATGCATCAATCCATTGGCATTATGATCCGCTTGCTTAGAAACGTTTCACCTCGTTAAGCCAGTGACCCCATAACCCCTCTCTGCCTATGAACCCATCAATGCATTCATGACTCAAGCGATGAATGAACCCATCAATGCATTCATGACTCAAGCAATGAATGAATCCATAAACTCGTGAACCCCTCCGCTCCATTAATCCACCTCTCAGCAATGAACCAAATTGGCTCAGGTCACCAAATCAATGGGGCGTTTTCACAATGAACAACTCGATGGAGGGGGGGGGGGATATAACCCAGGTCACATGGTCACGCAGACGGGGGGGAGGGGAAGAGGTGACCCAGGTCATTAGGTCACTCGGAAAAGGGAGGGAACATTCCAAGGTCTCCAAAGTCCTCGTTGTTGTAGTTCCCAGCTCCCTGCGTGGGGTCTCCCAGCATGGACAGCATCTCCTGGTGGGCAACGCGGAGAGGGGGGACTGGTTCAGGTCCAACTCTCAGGCTATTCGTGTTGTCCGATGACAACAATAGTAGCAGCAACAGCAGCGCTGCCATTTGATGTCATCAAATGGCTTGGGTCGCACTGCCAGGGACAGGACGCGGGCCAAGACAGCACGAGTCGTCGTGTGTGTGTACGTGTGTGTGTGTGTACGTGTGTGTGTGTACGTGTGTGTACGTGTGTGTGTGTACGTGTGTGTGTACGTGTGTGTGTACGTGTGTGTGTGTGTACATGTGTGTGTGTACGTGTGTGTGTGTACGTGTGTGTGTACGTGTGTGTGTACGTGTGTGTGTGTGTGTGTACGTGTGTGTGTGTGTACGTGTGTGTGTGTACATGTGTGTGTGTGTGTACATGTGTGTGTGTGTGTACGTGTGTGTGTGTGTACGTGTGTGTGTGTGTGCGTACGTGTGTGTGTGTACGTGTGTGTGTACGTGTGTGTGTGTACGTGTGTGTGTGTACGTGTGTGTGTACGTGTGTGTGTACGTGTGTGTGTGTACGTGTGTGTGTGTACGTGTGTGTACATGTGTGTGTGTACGTTCTTCTCTTCTTCTTTTGAACAAAAGAATGAAGGGGGCGTGGGAGCGTGGCGGTGAGGTGTGGGAAGCTGTAAGCCCCAGGCTGCTTTGGGCTCGCCTTCCCATCAACCGGAGGCGAGGAATGGTGGTCGTGGTTACTTATGCCCCCACCGAAGATGAACATCCGTGGAGGGATGCAGGCAAAGCCGATGAGTCAGATGCCTTCTATGACCTCCTGTCACAGGTGCTGGCTAAAGTGGCCCCTCGGGATAGAGTCATCATGTTGGGTGACTTCAATGCCCGAGTTGGTCATGATACTGGCACCTGGTCTGGAGTCATTGGAGGGCATGGGCCAGATCAGCTCAATAACAACGGTAGGAGGCTGCTAGATCTTTGTGCAGCCCATGGGCTTGTAATTACCAACACGCTGTTCCGGCATCGGCGCATCCACACAACATCCTGGATGCATGCCGGGTCCAAGCAAGAACATCTGCTGGACTACATAGTGACGGACCAGCGAATGCGAGCCCATGTCCTTGATACCAGGACCTACCGTGGAGCTGATCTGCCCTCTGACCATCGACTAGTCATCTGTAAGATGCGCCTGCCATTCTTCCACTCCGGTGGTGGGTGTACACCCACGACCCCATTTCAACATAAAGTGGCCTGGTCTCAGTTATCTGATGAAAGTTGCAAGCGAGAATTTCATCATCGCTTGCGGCTGGGACTGGCATCGTCCCCGACTCCTCCTGATGTCGAGGGTAAATGGGCGAAGTTAAGGACTGTGACTCATGCAGCTGCAATGGCTGCTTTGGGTACGCGGTCCAGACCTCCCCAGAGACCCTGGCTGACAGAGGAGGTGTTCAGGATGGTTGAGAAAAAGCGACAGGCCCACTGTCATCGGCTACAGAATCCCACGTCAGAGAATGAGGAGGCTTACCGCAGCCTTCGCTCGGAGGTTCGGAGAGCCGTGAGGTGCTGCAAGGATGGGTGGTGGTCGCGGGTTGCTGAGGAGATGGAGTCTGCCTCAGTGGCCCGTGATCACAAATCTCTATTTAACTCCATCAAAAAAGTAACCTGCAGCACCACACCTATTACCATCATTAGGGGAAAAAACGGTGATCCAATCTCCGACCCCCAGGAACAGGTTCGCAGATTTGCTGAGCATTTCTGTGAGGTCCTGGGGGAGGGAAAATCCCTCAGCCAGGAAAACATCGTGGCACAAAGTGAGGATGACCCTGCTGAGGCTGCGGTGCCTCAAATATTGGAAGAAGTCACCCCTTGTGAGTGGCTGGCTGAGGTGCCATCTGCTGAGGAAGTATTGAAGGCGATCCGGAGTCTGAGACCAGGAAAGGCAGCGGGCAGAGATGATCTCCCAAGCGAAATGCTGAGGGAGGGTGGCGTTTGTGCACAGACTGCCCTATATGACATCATAACAACAGTCTGGACCACTGGACGGGTTCCGCAGGATTGGAAGGATGCCCTGGTGGTCCCCCTTTTTAAGAAGGGGGACCGCACAGACTGTAACAACTACAGGGGCATCTCACTCCTCAGTGTGCCGGGAAAGGTCCTGGCAAGGATTATTCAGCATCGCCTTGCCAGGCACGCTGAGGAGAGGCTTGCGGAGCCCCAATGCGGTTTCAGGAAAGGGCGGTCCTGCACAGATGCCATATTTTCTGTCCGTCTGCTACAGCAGAGGTGTAGGGAATTCCAACAAGACCTACATCTCTGCTTTATTGACCTGGTCAAGGCCTATGATACCATCAGTAGGCCTGGGCTCTGGGTCGTTCTTCGTGCTTTTGGAGTACCTGACCCTCTGCTCACGATCATTAAGGAGCTTCATGATGGTGAGCGGGCCCAGGTAAAACTACGTGGCGGGGAGTCAGAGCCATTCGCTGTACACCTTGGGGTGCGACAGGGATGTCCTCTGGCTCCCACATTATTTAACATCTATTTTGACCACGTAGTTCGTGAAGCCTTCAATAGCTGTACCGGGGGAATCTCCATATGGTACAGATATAATGGGAGGCTAATCGATGCCCGGGTGCGGTCAAGGGATAGCTCCCTATTGCTCAACCACGTTATGTATGCTGATGATTTGGTAATAGCTGCTCAGTCAGAGGAGGAGTTGGAGACGCTGCTGCTGAGACTGGAGCGTGCCACTAAGAGGTGGGGCCTTACCATCAGCCCCACCAAAACTAAGCACCTGCCTGGGTATTTTGTACCATCAGACACTCCACCCCCACAACTCCCAATCGGTGATGGGGCAGTTGTGGAGAGAGTGGAGAGTATCCCATACCTGGGCAGTGTGCTTATGACTGGCTCCAGTTTAACAGCAGAGGTCTCACTCCGAATCAGTCGAGCGGCAATATCTTTTCATCGGTTGCGTAACGCTGTGTGGAAGCTACCTGGTCTGTCGCTCCGCACTAAGCTTCAGGTCTTCTCGGCCACGGTCATTCCCTCCCTTCTCTACGCTTGCGAAACGTGGACCCCCCTAATGGAACATCTTCGCCGGTTAGAAACATTTAGGCTGGCCTGCCTACGATCCATCCTGGGTTTAACCAGACTGGATTGTGTGAGGAGCTCACAAATCCTTGAAAGATCTGGGCAGGGTCCCATCGGTGAGCTCCTCCGGCAGGCAAGGCTGCGATGGCTGGGTCATGTAGCCCGCATGCCCAGCCACCGCATGCCGAAACAGCTTTTGTTTGGCCGGATTGAGGGGGCTAAGCAGGCGCGGCACGGGCTAGAGAAGAGATGGAGTGATGTGGTACAGGAGGACGTGGAGCTGAGTGGACTTGCCGATGACTGGTACCAGCGGTGTCAAGATCGGCCTCTGTGGAGGAGGCTCGTGAAGGATGCTACTGGGCAGTTGGAGGCAGTCGCCCTCCAACAACAACGGAGGGCGGAGGAGCGACGCTCACAACAACGAGCGGAGCGCCTGGTGGCTAAAGCACAGCAGGTTGGCACAGTAGGGGGCACAGGTGGTGCATCAGCCAGTCATCTCAGTCAGTCGACCCGTGGCACCTGGGTCTGCCCAGTGACCTCCTGCCAGCGGGCGTTCGACACTTCACGTGGCCTCACGGTGCACATAGCCTGGCACAAGCGTCGTGGTGACGTCACCGCCACTTAGTGGCGAATGGCGGTTGTTGTTGTGATGTGGTACAGGAGGACGTGGAGCTGTGTTTGGAGGAGGAGGAATGCTGCCTATGACCCCAAGAACACCACCCCCATCGTCAAACATGGAGGTGGAAACATTATGCTTTGGGGGTGTTTTTCTGCTAAGGGGACAGGACAACTTCACCGCATCAAAGGGACGATGGACGGGGCCATGTACCGTCAAATCTTGGGTGAGAACCTCCTTCCCTCAGCCAGGGCATTGAAAATGGATCGTGGATGGGTATTCCAGCATGACAATGACCCAAAACACACGGCCAAGGCAACAAAGGAGTGGCTCAAGAAGAAGCACATTAAGGTCCTGGAGTGGCCTAGCCAGTCTCCAGACCTTAATCCCATAGAAAATCTGTGGAGGGAGCTGAAGGTTCGAGTTGCCAAACGTCAGCCTCGAAACCTTAATGACTTGGAGAAGATCTGCAAAGAGGAGTGGGACAAAATCCCTCCTGAGATGTGTGCAAACCTGGTGGCCAACTACAAGAAACGTCTGACCTCTGTGATTGCCAACAAGGGTTTTGCCACCAAGTACTAAGTCATGTTTTGCAGAGGGGTCAAATACTGTTTTCCTTCATTAAAATGCAAATCAATTTATAACATTTTTGACATGCTTTTTCTGGATTTTGTTGTTGTTATTCTGTCTCTCACTGTTCAAATAAACCTACCATTAAAATTATAGACTGATCATTTCTTTGTCAGTGGGCAAACGTACAAAATCAGCAGGGGATCAAATACTTTTTTCCCCTCACTGTATGTGTGTAGGGTGTGGTTCTCGACTCAGCCTCAAATGAGTACCTGGTGTGATGTGTAAACATCGCCACTGGGGAGACAAAGGCGGCTGGGCGTGGTGCTGGCCACCCACCCCTTCGTGTGCCGTGTCGGCCTTCATAGGTGCTCGCTAACAGCACTTGCCACAACAGTCTGTTTAAAGGCTACACGGGGGATCTTTATCTTTGTGTGTACGTGTGTGTATGCGTGTGTGTACGTGTGTGTGCGTGTGTGTATGTGTACGTGTGTGTGTGCATATGTACGTGTGTGTGCGTGTGTGTATGTGTGTGTGCGTGTGTGTGTGTATGTGTGTACCTGGAACACCTCGGGCTGCCCTGCAGTTTAACAGCAGAGGTTTCACTCCGAATCAGTCGAGCGGCAATATCTTTTCATCGGTTGCGTAACGCTGTGTGGAAACTACCTGGTCGGTCGCTCCGCACTAAGCTTCAGGTCTTCTCGGCCACGGTCATTCCCTCCCTTCCCTACGCTTGCGAAACGTGGACCCCCCTAATGGAACATCTTCGCCGGTTAGAAACATTTAGGCTGGCCTGCCTACGATCCATCCTGGGTTTAACCAGACTGGATTGTATGAGGAGCTCACAAATCCTTGAAAGATCTGGGCAAGGTCCCATCGGTGAGCTCCTCCGGCGGGCAAGGCTGCAATGGCTGGGTCTTGTAGCCCGCATGCCCAGCCACCGCATCCTAAAACAGCTTTTGTTCGGCCGGATCGAGGGGGCTAAGCGGGCGCGGCACGGGCTAGAGAAGAGATGGAGTGATGTGGTACAGGAGGACGTGGAGCTGAGTGGACTTGCCGATGACTGGTACCAGCGGTGTCAAGATCGGCCTCTGTGGAGGAGGCTCGTGAAGGACGCTACTGGGCAGTTGGAGGTAGTCGCCCTCCAACAACAACGGAGGGCGGAGGAGTGACGCTCAGAACAACGAGCAGAGCGCCGGGTGGCTAAAGCACAGCAGGTTGGCACAGTAGGGGGCACAGGTGGTGCATCAGCCAGTCATCTCAGTCAGTCGACCCGTGGCACCTGAGTCTGCCCCGTGACCTCCTGCCAGCGGGCGTTCGACACTTCACGTGGCCTCAGGGTGCACATAGCCTGGCACAAGCGTCGTGGTGACGTCACCGCCACTTAGTGGCGAATGGCGGTTGTTGTTGTTGTGTATGTGTGTACCTGGAACACCTCGGGCTGCCCTGCAGGGGGGTGAGTGTGCCCTTCTCCTCCCTGGCCCCCGTGCTGCCACTGGGGCCAGCCCCCTCCGCCGGGACCCCCTCCCTGGCCCCCCTCTGCTCGCGGTCGAGACAGGGGACAGCGACGCGCACGCAGAGCGACTGGGTCACGTCTAGGTCACGACTGGGTCACGTCTGGGTCACGTCTGGGTCACGACTGGGTCACGTCTGGGTCACGACTGGGTCACGTCTAGGTCACGACTGGGTCACGTCTGGGTCACGTCTAGGTCACGACTGGGTCACGACTGGGTCACGTCTAGGTCACGTCTGGGTCACGTCTAGGTCACGACTGGGTCACGAATGGGTCACATCTAGGTCACGTCTGGGTCACGTCTGGGTCACGACTGGGTCACGTCTGGGTCACGTCTGGGTCACGTCTGGGTCATGGAATGGGTCACGACTGGGTCACGACTGGGTGACGTCTGGGTCACAAAACAACTTGGTCAAGGTCACGGCAAAGGTTTCAAAGTCATATTCTTTGGTTATTTCGGTAAAGTAACGTAGATAGAAAATGCAAATAAAATTACAAATAAAATTAAACATCAAATAAAAAACCCCACGACGTTTCGATCGCAACACAAGCGGTCTTCATCAGGCGAAGAGAAAAGAGGGGACAAGCATCCAAATGCAACAGCTGAGAAGGGCTTCCAAAGTTGTGAGTGGACGGGGGGCCGAGAGTTGCGAGGCAGCAGCAAGGAAAGCGGCGGCGTAAACAGCAGGGGCGGGGCAGCCAATGCTAATGTCGGAGTACAGCGCGAGACGGAGGAGGAGCTGAGGGCGAGGGGCGGAGTCCAAGTGCGTGAGACAATGCGGGGAGGGAGGGGTTAGAGATAGGGGGAGAGAGGGGGAGTAAAGCGCGAGACGGAGGAGGAGCTGAGGGCGAGGGGCGTGGTCCAAGTGCGTGAGACAATGCGGGGAGGGAGGGGGTAGAGATAGGGGGAGAAAGGGGGTAGAGATGGGGGGGGCATTGCACCTCGCTACACCCACCCACACTGCTGACGGGAGAGGTCAACAAGAAAACACAAATCAAGTCATGACCCAAAGTGGTTGATGACATCTTTCCAATGATTGCTGAGTTTATAACCATCGTCTCGGTTGAAACTGTCTGTATACATGGATGGCTTCATGAACGAACCGTTGTTGATACCCAGTCGGCTTGCAAAGTACCATCGTCTTAGAGAAATCAATTTCACGTGAGCCAGCCACATTAAAGTAATTATCAGCCACGGCATAAGTGTTGGTCCTGCCGTGTTTCACATCTGCCTCATGTTCACGAACATAGTCCAAGACATGTCGCTTAGTTTCCCCAATGTAACTGCTGCCGCAGGTACAGCTTAGTTTGTAGACGTCGGGATATTGCATGTCAGGAATCTTGTCCTTCACAGGTGGGATCAGATCACGAATTTTATGCACTGTTAAATCGGACCTGGATCATGTGTTTGTTCAAGATTTTGGAAATATTTTTGGTTATCCCTGCTATGTAAGGCAAGGTGATGGTTTTTATTGGATCTTCAGATGGCTCCTTCCTCATGGTTGGGGTGATGACTTTGCGGATTGTGTAGTCAGAATATCCATTCGCTTGAGAGCTTGGTGTACGTGTTTGAGTTCACTGGTTAGGTGTTCATGGTCGGAGATACATTGAGCTCTATGGTGTAGCGTTGTGATGAGGGAATTCTTCTGGGATGGATGGTGGTGGGAATCAGGTTTTAGGTAGGCGTCAGTATGGGTTACTTTCCTGTAGACAGAATGGCTCATTGAGCCATCTGGTCTCTTTTTGATTAAGACTACCAAGAAGGGTAGCATGCCATCCTTTTCTACCTACATGGTGAATTTGATTGCTGGGTGAATGGAATTGATGTGGTTGAGAAATTGTTTCAGAGCCGGTCGGCCATGTGGCCAGATGACAAACGTGTCATCCACGTATCTCTTCCACAAGGACGGGTGTAGAGTGGATGCCTGGATGGCGTCCGTCTCAAATTTTTCCATGAAAATGTTGGCCACAACGGGAGATAAGGCAGAACCCATTGGGGTGCCTTCAGTTTGTTTGTAGAATATTCCACCCCAGGTGAAGTATGTATTGGTGAGGCAGTGTCTCACCAAGGCCGGTACATCAGCATTCAATCCATGTTGGACCAGATCTTCAATGATTGCAATGGTATCACGCACATAAACTTTGGTGAACAAAGAAACTACGTAGAAACTAACGAGCAAATCACCTGGGGACAGTGAGATGTCTTTAATTGACGATACCAGGTGAGCTGAGTTAAGAACAGAAGAGGTGGTCTTACCAGTGAATGGCTGCAAGGTCTCAGACAGAAACCGGGCCAGTTTGTAGGTGGCTGAGCCAATGGTGGAGACGATGGGATGAAGGGGTCCACCCTCTTTATGGATTTTTGGTAAGCCATATAGTCTGGGTGGTTTAGCAGCAGAGGGTTTTCAGGAAAACCGTTTGGTCTGTTCAATTAATGAAGCTGAATCAGTGATGATACTGTTCGTTTTTGTAACGAGGCAGTTGGTGGGATCTCTTTAAATTGTTGTGTAGCTACCATCATTAAGTAGGTCCTGAATGTTGTTGTACACGTTTTTGTCAACAACATCTCGTCCTGATGCCCCCACTTGAATTCAACACCATTATTAAACGCAGACCCAGAACGCCAAAAAACAGCAACAAAAAGCATTATAAACTTTGTTTTAAAGCTTTCGTGACTGCAGGGATTCATATTCTTGGTTCTTTCGGTAAACTCACGTAGAAGGGAAACAAAATAATAAAAATATTAAACAATAAAATTCTCACGACGTTTCGACTGCAACACAAGCAATCATCATCAGGTGTGAAAACCACAACAAGGAAATTTGAAAAAAGTGGCGGTTATTTTTAACGTTAGCATTATAAACGTCGGAAGAGATCATGAGAGTGTAACGCGTTTGCAGAATTGAGCGAAGTTATTGATTGAGCCAGGTTATTGTTGTAAGAGGTTTGGAGATAAAAGAGAAGAGACGATGGGAGGAGGGGATTGCAGTGCGAGGGAAGAAGCAGAGAGAGGTGACCCTGCAGTGGGGTGAGTGGTTGAGTGGGTGAGTGGGTGGGCCAGTATGAGAGTGGGTGACAGCGGAGCGAGTGAATGTGTGAGTCGGTGACCCTGCAGTGGGGTGAGTGGTTGAGTGGGTGAGTGAGTGAGTGAATGAGCGAGTCAGTGTGGGAGTGGGTGACAGTGTGAGTGAGTAAATGTGTGTGAGTCGGGAGCGGTAGTGCAGCGGTTAGTGCTACGTTGCGCTATGAACCTGGCGACCTGAATTCGATTCCCACTCACGGCCAAAACCAGTGACAATTATTTGAACCGGTCCTGGGCCTCCCCTAGGTCGACTCAGCCTCAAATGAGTACCTGGTGCGGTGTGCAAATATCGCCACTGGGGAGACAAAGGCGGCCGGGCGTGGTGCTGGCCACCCACCCCCTTGTGTGCCATGCCGGCCTTCATAAGTGCTCGCTAACAAAACTTGCCCAAGCTGTCCGTTAAGGCTATACGGGGGGGGGGGGGAGTCTCTGTCTTTGAGTGCATGAGTGAATAGGTGATTGAGTGGATGAGGGGTGTGTTGTTGTGACCTGCAGTGTTGGTGGTGGAGGTGGTTGAACAGTGTGGATGAGATGGCACAGCGTTAAGTTGACCGAGTCCTCAACATGGGAGGAGGAATCACCGAGGGAAGTTCACGGGAACAGCGACCACGGTAGCAGTGTCACAAGAGTGATAGGTAGGTGACTGACCGCCGGTGGGGGAGCGAGCCGAGTGAGTCAATGAGTGCGGTGATCGTCGATCTCCCTGCCTGCTGCTTCACGCTGAACTCAGTTGGCTGAAGCAGTGAGGTAGGAGCTGGGCGCTCCACCCCCAGATGCAGCAGCAGCAGCAGCTGGAGTCTAACCTGGGCCAAGTTTTTGCTGCGTGCAGCAGCAACAGCATTTCTTGGCGTTAAAGGCGGCTTTGGCAGAGCAAACAAATCCGAGCGTCTTCTACGATGCCTCCGTAGCCACGACCACATCTTGAAACTGCCCAGGTCGTCCAGCTGTGTGTCCACTTCTAATGTCGAACCTAACGCCACGCTCCCCCGTTGGGAGCCTCCGTTGGGAGCCTCCGTTCATCCAGCGAGCAGGCAGCTCCTCGTGCCCCGCGCCACTCTTGCCAAACCCTGGCCCCCAATCTCTTCCCAGCAGCTGCCGTCTGCTGTCAAGAGGTCTCCCCCGCGCGGCGCGTGTGCACCGCGTGACCCGTGCGATTTCCACGACCACCGTCGCTGCCGTTCATGCACAGGCGGGGCCGTCCATCGTGGGTGGAGTGCGGGGCCCGGGGCAAATCACTCACCGCGTGGACCCCCCCGACGCCTTCAAACTACACCAGAAGTATTACATCTGACACTGTGGCATCGATGCGCGGGGCCCAGGGCGATTGCCCCGACTCGCCGTACCGTAGAGACGGCTCTGTGTCCCCGCATTCGTTTGCTCGGAATGGTCCGACGGATGCTCCTCCCTCTGTTAGATACGGGGCACCTGCGGCGTTGGTACTGCCAGACCTGACTGTGCTGATAAGACACTGGACGAGTGCTCTGAGCCTCAAGACTCGTTTTCAGGAGGATCCTGCCAGGTTTTCTCAGGAGGGCAGGCGGGGGGGGGGGGGGTGATTGCTGCTATATGTTTGATTGCAATTAAGTCATATTTGCGGGGCAATTTGTCTAAATATGGCAAATGTTGTCTGTGAGCCCGGCACGCGCTGGTCGACTGTTGCCAATGACGTCCGCTGTGAGGTGGACGGCGCGGAGGAGTAATTACAGTTAATACAACCGCAGTGTTTACCAGGGCGGCCGCTGGATTCGAACCGTGAACGGCTGCAACGAGCGGTGGGCGCCCTGCCAATGGGGCCACGCCGCCGCCACCGAGAGCGGTCGAGGAGGAAGGCCGTGCGTGTGCTGACGGGATGTGTCAGAAAGGGTCGCGTCGTTTACGTGGAGGGACCGGTGAGGGGGAGGTGGGGGGAGGGAGGGAGGAGGGGGGGGGGGGAGGAGGAGGAGGGGGAGGAGGGGGGAGGAGGGGGAGGAGGATTGCCTGCCGAGATATTTTGTGCTCATGACGCAGCCTGGCATGGGCTTCAGAGAGGTGAGCGTCGCGGTCGCGGTGTGAGATCAGGTTGGGGGTTAGGGTCAGAGGTGGGGTCAGCGTCAAGGGGTCACAGTGAGGCTCGGGGAGCTGTCTGCAGTGACCGCTCCCCCTCCGCGGCCTGGACTGTGACCCCGCGTTCACTCCGCGGTCCGCGTGCCCCCCTCCCGCCACTCCGACAGCTCCCTGTGTCAATGGGGGGCTGGGGGAGGGGTGGGGACCGGGCGGCACAGTCCCCGTTTGTTCTCCGAGTGAATGAAAGGCGCAGTGTGGGCCCCTGTGGGCTCTCATTAGGGCCCTGCGGAGCCCTGCGGAGCACTCGGACGGGAGCCGACGGCGAGCGGGGCCCTGTGGCAGCAGTCACGGTGGCCTCTAGCGTCCCCGCCATTGGGGGCCCATACTCACGGCAACAGTTAGACTGCAACACTCGACACAACACCCTCACCACAACCCCGCAGTGTCACTGAGCACCTGCTGCCGCTACCCAGCCTCGGCCACCACCCCTCCCTGTTCGCCCCCCCCCACACCACCCCCGCCCGCCCCCCAGCTTCTACAAACACGACGGATAAACAAAGAGTGGAGCTGTAGAGGAGAGCGGAGGTTTTGGATGGGAGCACGGCTGCCGCTGGTTTTAATTTAATCGCTAAAATAAGAATCCCTCGAAAACCCCGCACGCCGCCGCCACCGCCGCCGCCGCCACTGCCAAGAGGAGGGGAGGGCGAGGAGAAGGAGGAGGCGGCGAGGGCCGGAGGGCGAGGAGAAGGAGGAGGCGGCGAGGGCCGGGCCCCGGGGAAGCGCGCGAAGGAATTTGGCGAGGAAGTTGCAAAAAAAAAGTATATAAAAAAATAAACATCACAAATTCCAAACGGCGAATTAAACCTCCCAGCCCCCTTAAAGGGCGAGAGCGGAGCCGAGGCGTTGAGGCTCGCGGCGAGTCTCCGTCACCGCGTATTTTCCCTCGCGGCGAGTCTCCGTCACGGTGAGACTCGCCGCGAGTCTCGAGCTGCGGTCAGGATCGGACGACGCGCGAGTTGCTAGGGCCACCGAGACCGCCGGCTCGCCACACGCGAGACCCCCGCCCCCCCCCCCGCACTGGTAGACCGGCACCGGCACCCGGGCTCGAACCCAAGGGTCTCGGTGGTCGCCGCCCTCCGTGTCCCTCCGACTCGGCCATCGCGCAAGCCGTTGGCGGTAGCGCGCTCGCCGCTCGCCGAGAGGTTTCGCGGTTCGAATCCAGCGCCCGCCCCTGGCTTATCCTGCGGCTCGCGTCTAAACGGCGCAAGACGATACTCTGCGCCCCTCTGCTTCACTCGCAGTGGGGGTTCAAGATCCGGTGACGTCATTGGCAGTAGGCCCTTGCGATGAATGACACCGCTAATCACCCAATTGGAATTTAGGGAGCTATAATCGCCACCCCCTATTGAAACAAACTTGGCAGGACCCCCGTGCAAAAACGTCTTGGGGCTCAGGCTTTCCTGGCTCTACAAGCGCAACGATAACAAACGGAGGAACGACGGAGCGGCGCGATGGCGAACGCGGCGAGGTGCGGTCCGTCCATCGCACAGCCGCCCGCCGTGCGCCTACTCGGGGGGGCAGCAGCCCCCACCGCTACGCCCCGCTCGGCCGCTCACGCCAGCGGACGGATCACGAGGACGCGGCACGCAGCTAAGGCGTCAGGCGCTTGCCAGACGCCGTGCGAAGGAGAGGAAGGATCTGGAGGTGGTCGACTGTTGCCAATGACGTCCGCTGTGAGGCGGACGGCGCGGAGGAGTAATTACAGTTAATACAACCGCAGTGCTTACCAGGGCGGCCGCTGGATTCGAACCGTGAACGGCTGCAACAAGCGGTGGGCGCCCTGCCAACGGGGCCACGCCGCCACCGCCGAGAGCGGTCGAGACCTCGCGTTGCAGTCAGCGCTGATTTTATTGCTGTTGGTGGTGGCTCGGGCTCCTTGAAACGCGGTGACCGTGCCAAAATCCTGCCCTGTCAAAGGCGGGGACCCCCCCTCCCCACCATGAGCCGCGGCCCCGCAGATATCGCCAACGACATCGGCGTCATCGAAACCTGGCCGCCCACCAACCTCCCGTCCAACGGCACACGTGGGAACAGAGGCGAAGACCCTATTTTTTTAGTAAAAAAAAAAATTCCGTGCGCTCCGATTGGTCGAGTAGCGGAGTGGATATTGGGTCGACGTATCATTGACTCGAACAATCGGATATCCCGGCTCCGCACGGGAACCGCCACTGCTGCCGGGCCCGGTGAGTCCCATCACCGTGCGTCACCGCCGCGCAGCGCAATGGCGGCGCCGCGTGGCGGCTGTCACCGCACGGGGAGGAGGGAGGCGACCCGCCCGCGGCTCCCGAATCCCACGGCTCCCGCGCCCCTCCGGGGTCTCCCCCGCCGTGGGGCCCGCGACTTTCTGTGGCCCCGCCAGGGCGCCTCGGTCCTGCCGTGGTCCCCTTCTCACTCCCCCCTCACTCCCCGCCACCACTGGAGCGCGCTGGCCGTACCGTAGGGTGTGGTGCGCGTGCCGATGCTGGCGTAGGTGGGCGCGCCGGGCGACGGCGCCGACGCCGGGTTGGAGAGGGGGCTGAAGGACGAGGGGCTCGCCGCAAAGCTGTGGCCAAACGGCGGAGACTGAGCCTTGCCGGGCTGCGCGGTGAGGGGCGCACAGACACGCACACAGCGCGCACAGACACACGGGGATGGAGGCACTCGCGCGCGCAGGGGCACGGACACACAGGCGCGCACAGGGGAGCGTGCACAGCGGTAGACAGAGACACGCAGAGGGACACGCACGGCAGCAGTGTTGCTGCGTTAGTGCGCTGGCAGGCGCCGATGCCGACACCGTGACCCGGTGCGGTGACGCGCACCGCTCTGCGGCACAGTGCGGCGCACCGCAGGGCAGCGGAAGCGGTGCGTGATGAGCGCCGTCCTGCAGTGTAGGTGGTGTGGTCGAGGCGGTGCGGTGGAGGAGGTGGCGAGCGACATTGCCGCACCCAGGTGGTGGTGGCCGATGCTTGGCTGGCCCCGGACGCCGACGTCTGCCGTGACATCTGGGCCAAGATCTGCCCGGCCGACGGCGCCTGCACCAGCGCCAGGCTCGGGCTGCAGCCGCCAGGCGATGACGGGGAAGGCGAGTTGAGCACGGGGGGGTTGGAGGGATACAGAAAGATGGCAGACGCGAGTTTCTGTTGGACATTAAAGCCCCGCATATGTCAGCAGCAAGGGTGTCTGAACTCTGACCCTCCCTGACATGTGACCTCAGCATGTGATGATGACCATGGCCAAGTGACCCTGATTCTGCAGGGTGACCTTTCCCTCAACAGGTGACCTTGAGCCACACGTGACACAACCCACCTCCCATTATAATGTTCTATTTGGTTACTTTTGCTCCGATTTCTATTTGCTTCGTCGCTGTGCCTCGTCTTTGCGTTACCCTCTCGTGATTCCCGCGCCCCAGGTCTCTCTGGAGAACGTGCCTCCGTCCCGGTCTCTTGAGCTGTCGCCTGGTTACACAACATCATCTCCACGATCATCTTGACCTCCAACACGTGACCCCGAACATGTGACCCTGACCCTCAGATGTCCCTGACCCTCATCACACGACCGTGACACCCCCCCCCACCCCCCCCACCACAACTTTCAGTGAAATCCAGCCAGGGACTCAAGACCCCCCCCCCCCCCCCCCCCCCCGTGTAGCCTCAAACAGACTGTTGGGACAAGTGCTGTTAGTGAGCACCCGTGGAGGGCGGCGTGCGCGTACTGTATGTCCCTACACACCGACCTACCACCCACCGCACCGACCTTCCCCCTCTGCACCCCCTCCCCCACCGCCTCTCGCTGCTGGTCGGTACCTGTACGGTTGCCCCGCACGGGGGAAGCTGGCCGTGCCCCCCTGCTGGAAAATGGTTTGCCCTGCCGCGGCCGACGGCGACACGAGGCCGCTCTTGGAGCCGAGCTTCTGGTCTGCGCACACACACACACAGAGCGTAAAATCAAGATCCCCCCTGTCGCCTCAACTGCTGTTAGCGAGCAGCACCAATGAAGGTCGCCACTGTGGCGCACAAGGGGGTTTGTGGCCAGCACTACGCCCGGCCGCCTTTGTCTCCCCCAGTGCTAAGTTTACACACCGCATGAGGCCGAGTCGACCTAGGGGAGGCCCAGGACCGGTTCTGATAACCGTCACCGGTGTTGGCCCATGAGCGGGTCATTGGGTTCATAGCGCAGTGCGCTAACCGCTACACCGCCACTTCCTCCACACACACAGGGGCAGCACTGCCCCCACCGCCGTCACCGCTATCGCCGTCATCTCTGCCGTCACCGCCAATTTCCAATATCCTCAGGATGGCGGTTGCTGCAACGCCGTGCTGTGCTTGGCAGGGAACCCCGGTTGTCAATGCCACCCCTGCCCGCCCGCCCGGCCACCCACGGCACGTGCATCACCCTCCAGCCTCGTCCCGTGGCCCGCGCCACGAGGCCCCGCGTAGAGGGCCAGGGGGAGGGGGCTCCCTGCGAAGCACTCTGCCCCCGCCCCCCCCGTCCCCTCATCCACTCGGGAATTTGTTTCTCAATGGATATCATCGCTGGTGGAGCAGGGTCGTGGCTCTGTGCGATGCGAGGCATGCTGGGGCGGAAATATTTTCGGTGTCTCTAAGGCGAGGCGGAGCGGTTGTGGGTGTTGTGGCTGAGTGGGCTTGGAAACAGTTTTGGTGACCTCCACGCAACCGTGCACCTGACCCTGCAACCGTGGCACAGCGACTAGGCGGGGAAGAAGGGCTGCGTGCGCGTACGGGGAGCGGTGGCGCAGCGGTCAGCGCGCTGCGCCACGGACCCGGCGACCCGGAGTTTTGACCGGCCAACAGCCCCGGGGAGACGAGGCGGCCGCGCGTGGTGCAGGCCGGCCACTTCCTCGTGTGCCGTGCCCGCCTTCGTGGTTGCTCGCTAACAGCACTTGCCCCCGATAGTCTGTTAAAGGCTAAAAAGGGGGATGAGTGTGCGAGCGAGTGCGTGAGTGAGTGTGCGAGTGAGTGTGTGAGTGAGTGTGCGAGCGAGTGAGTGAGCGAGCGAGTGAGTGAGCGAGTGAGTGTGCGAGCGAGTGAGTGAGTGAGTGTGCGAGCGAGCGAGTGAGTGAGCGAGTCTGTGTGCGCTCACGTACACGTGTGTCTGTGTGCGTGCGCACGTGTTGCGTTATCAGCATCGCTGGGGTGGGGGGGGCGGGTGGATTGGGTGTGGTGGGGGGCAGGCAGCCAGGGGAATGGGAGGGGGTTGTGAAGGGGGTGTGGGCCTGCTGCTAAATGAGCACCAGATGCTCGGCGTGCTCCAAACGCAAATCGTCCGCCGTGTGCTCACTCGGGCGGCGAACCGTGACACCCAAACGCCGAGCAAGTTCAAGCGGGAGGGTGGGGGAGGCTCGGAGTTGAGAGGAGTTTGTGGGGGGGGGGGGGTGCTGCAGTGGAACTTGACCTGTGCCGGGGCGTCGGGGTGGGGGGTGGGGGGTGGGCGCCACCGCCGCGTCCGGGGTCGTGAAAATCGTTCCGGTGAAGGCGCTGATGCGATCCGGAAAGAATTCATCGGTGCTGATGGGAACTGCCCAAAGTCCGCGAAGGCTGTACGCGGGGAATCTTTGTTTTGTCCGTGTGTGTGCACGTGCGTGTGCGTGCATGTACGTGTATGTGCATGCGTGTGTGTGTATGTGGGGAGCGATAGTGTAGCGGTTAGCGCGCTGCGCTATGAACCTGGCGACCCGGGTTCGATTCCCGCTCACGGCCAACACCAGTGACGATTATCTGAACCGGTCCCGGGCCTCCCCTAGGTCGACTCAGCCTTAAATGAGTGCCTGGTACGGTGTGTAAACATTGCGACTGGGGAGACAAAGGCGGGCGGGCGTGGTGCTGGCCACCCACACCCTCGTGTACCGTTCCGGCCTTCATAGGGGCTCGCTAACAGCACTTGCCCCTACAGTCTGTTAAGGCTATACGGGGGATCTTTGTCTTTGTTTGTGTATGTATGCATGCGTGTGCGTGCGTGCACGTGTGAGCGTGCGTGTGCGTGCGTATACGTGTGTACGTGTGCGTGTGTGCGTGCACGTGCATGTGTTTGCGTGTGTGCGTGTGTGTGCGCGTGCGTGCGTGTACGTGTATGTGCATGCGTGTGTGTATGTGTGCATGCGTGTGCATACACGTGTGAGCGTGCGTGTGCGTGCGTGCGTGTGTGTACGTGCGCGTGTGTGCGTGCACGTGCATGTGTGTGCGTGTATGTGTGCATCGTCCCCGACTCCTCCTGATGTCGAGGGTAAATGGGCGAGGTTTAGGACTGTGACTCATGCAGCTGCAATGGCTGCTTTGGGTACGCGGTCCAGACCTCCCCAGACACCCTGGATGACAGAGGAGTTGTTCACGATGGTTGAGAAAAAGCGACAGGCCCACTGTCATCGGCTACAGAATCCCACGTCAGAGAATGAGGAGGCTTACCGCAGCCTTCGCTCGGAGGTTCGGAGAGCCGTGAGGCGCTGCAAGGATGGGTGGTGGTCGCGGGTTGCTGAGGAGATGGAGTCTGCCTCAGTGGCCCGTGATCACAAATCTCTATTTAACTCCATCAAAAAAGTAACCTGCAGCGCCACACCTATTACCATCATTAGGGGAAAAAACGGTGATCCAATTTCCGACCCCCAGGAACAGGTTCGCAGATTTGCTGAGCATTTCTGTGAGGTCCTGGGGGAGGGAAAATCCCTCAGCCAGGAAAACATCGTGGCACAAAGTGAGGATGACCCTGCTGAGGCTGCGGTGCCTCAAATATTGGATGAAGTCACCCCCTGTGAGTGGCTGGCTGAGGTGCCATCTGCTGAGGAAGTATTGAAAGCGATCCGGAGTCTGAGACCAGGTAAGGCAGCGGGCAGAGATGATCTCCCAAGCGAAATGCTGAGGGAGGGTGGCGTTTGTGCACAGACTGCCCTATATGACATCATAACAACAGTCTGGACCACTGGACGGGTTCCGCAGGATTGGAAGGATGCCCTGGTGGTCCCCCCCCCCGAAGGGGGACCGCACAGACTAACAACTACAGGGGCATCTCACTCCTCAGTGTGCCGGGAAAGGTCCTGGCAAGGATTATTCAGCATCGCCTTGCCAGGCACGCTGAGGAGAGGCTTGCGGAGCCCCAATGCGGTTTCAGGAAAGGGCGGTCCTGCACAGATGCCATATTTTCTGTCCGTCTGCTACAGCAGAGGTGTAGGGAATTCCAACAAGACCTACATCTCTGCTTTATTGACCTGGTCAAGGCCTATGATACCATCAGTAGGCCTGGGCTCTGGGTCGTTCTTCGTGCTTTTGGAGTACCTGACCCTCTGCTCACGATCATTAAGGACCTTCATGATGGTGAGCGGGCCCGGGTAAAACTACGTGGCCGGGAGTCAGAGCCATTCCCTGTACACCTTGGGGTGCGACAGGGATGTCCTCTGGCTCCCACATTATTTAACATCTATTTTGACCACGTAGTTCGTGAAGCCTTCAATAGCTGTACCGGGGGAATCTCCATATGGTACAGATATAATGGGAGGCTAATCGATGCCCGGGTGCGGTCAAGGGATGGCTCCCTATTGCTCAACCACGTTATGTATGCTGATGACTTGGTAATAGCTGCTCAGTCAGAGGAGGAGTTGGAGACGCTGCTGCTGAGACTGGAGCGTGCCACTAAGAGGTGGGGCCTTACCATCAGCCCCACCAAAACTAAGCACCTGCCTGGGTATTTTGTACCATCGGACACTCCACCCCCACAACTCCCAATCGGTGATGGGGCAGTTGTGGAGAGAGTGGAGAGTTTCCCATACCTGGGCAGTGTGCTTATGACTGGCTCCTGTTTAACAGCAGAGGTCTCACTCCGAATCAGTCGAGCGGCAATATCTTTTCATCGGTTGCGTAACGCTGTGTGGAAGCTACCTGGTCTGTCGCTCCGCACTAAGCTTCAGGTCTTCTCGGCCACGGTCATTCCCTCCCTTCTCTACGCTTGCGAAACGTGGACCCCCCTAATGGAACATCTTCGCCGGTTAGAAACATTTAGGCTGGCCTGCCTACGATCCATCCTGGGTTTAACCAGACTGGATTGTGTGATTAGCTCACAAATCCTTGAAAGATCTGGGCAGGGTCCCATCGGTGAGCTCCTCCGGCAGGCAAGGCTGCGATGGCTGGGTCATGTTGCCCGCATGCCCAGCCACCGCATGCCGAAACAGCTTTTGTTTGGCCGGATTGAGGGGGCTAAGCGGGCGCGGCACGGGCTGGAGAAGAGATGGAGTGATGTGGTACAGGAGGACGTGGAGCTGAGTGGACTTGCCGATGACTGGTACCAGCGGTGTCAAGATCGGCCTCTGTGGAGGAGGCTCGTGAAGGATGCTACTGGGCAGTTGGAGGCAGTCGCCCTCCAACAACAAAGGAGGGCGGAGGAGCGACGCTCACAACAGCGAGCGGAGCGCCGGGTGGCTAAAGCACAGCAGGTTGGCACAGTAGGGGGCACAGGTGGTGCATCAGCCAGTCATCTCAGTCAGTCGACCCGTGGCACCTGGGTCTGCCCCGTGACCTCCTGCCAGCGGGCGTTCGACACTTCACGTGGCCTCAGGGTGCACATAGCCTGGCACAAGCGTCGTGGTGACGTCACCGCCACTTAGTGGCGAATGGCGGTTGTTGTTGTTGTTGTGCGTGCGTAGGTGTGTGCATGCGTGTGTGCGTGTGCATGTGTGCGTGTGTGCGTGTGTGGGTGCGTGTGTGCGTGCGTGGGTGTGTGCGTGTGTGTGTACGTGCGTCTGTGTGTGCTGAGGCTGCGGTGCCTCAAATATTGGAAGAAGTCACCCCCTGTGAGTAGCTGGCTGAGGTGCCATCTGTTGAGGAAGTACTGAAGGCGATCCGGAGTCTGAGACCAGGAATGGCACCGGGCAGAGATGATCTCCCAAGCGAAATGCTGAGGGAGGGTGGCGTTTGTGCACAGACTGCCCTATATGACATCATAACAACAGGCTGAACCACTGGATGGGTTCCGCAGGATTGGAAGGATGCCCTGGTGGTCCCCCTCTTTAAGAAGGGGGACCGCACAGACTGTAACAACTACAGGGGAATCTCACTCCTCAGTGTGCTGGGAAAGGTCCTGGCAAGGATTATTCAACATCGCCTTGCCAGGCACGCTGAGGAGAGGCTTGCGGAGCCCCAATGCGGTTTCAGGAAAGGGCGGTCCTGCACAGATGCCATATTTTCTGTCCGTCTGCTACAGCAGAGGTGTAGGGAATTCCCACAAGACCAACATCTCTGCTTTATTGACCTGGTCAAGGCCTATGATACCATCAGTAGGCCTGGGCTCTGGGTTGTTCTTCGTGCTTTTGAAGTCCCTGACCCCCTGCTCACGATCATTAAGGACCTTCATGATTGTGAGCGGGCTTGGGTAAAACTACGTGACCGGGACTCAGAGCATTCCCTGTACACCTTGGGGTGCGACAGGGATGTCCTCTGGCTCCCACATTATTTAACATCTATTTTGACCACGTAGTTCATGAAGCCTTAAATAGCTGTACCACAGGAATCTCCATATGGTACAGATATAATGGGAGGCTGATCGATGCCCGGGTGCGGTCAAGGGATGGCTCCCTATTGCTCAACCACGTTATGTATGCCGATGATTTGGTAATAGCTACTCATTCAGAGGAGGAGTTGGAGATGCTGCTGCTGAGACAGGAGCGTGTCACTAAGAGATGGGGCCTTACCATCAGCCCCACCAAAACTAAGCACCTGCCTGGGTATTTTGTACCATTGGACACTCCACCCCCACAACTCCCAATCGGTGATGGGGCAGTTGTGGAGAGAGTGGAGAGTTTCCCATACCTGGGCAGTGTGCTTATGACCGGCTCCAGTTTGAAAACTACAACCTTTTTCGGCTTGACCGAGGATCTAAAGGAGGTGGAATTGCCATCAATGTTCGTAATACTATTGCATGTTCACCAGCTCACTCCTTGGTTAAACTCTCCCAAATAATCAACAGATATTGGTAGTGTGCTGCTATAGACCGCCTTGTGGGAAGGATGTTGAAGCTGCATCGGCACTGAGAGAGCTTTTTGGGGTCCTCCCTAAAGGTGAAATAGTTTTAGTGGGTGATCTAAATTGGAATTGGCTAAACCCGCCGGCCATGGCCACAAATTTTACAGATGAATTTAACCTGTTTCAATTAATAAATGTCCCCACAAGACCCAACCTAAAAAATCCGGGACAGTCAACTCTGCTTGACGTCCTATTGACAAATGCCCCTCACAATTTCGCACTGACTGGTGTTCTGGGTAAGAACCTTAGTGATCAACGTGGACCCCGTTATGGAACATCTTCGCCGGTTAGAAACATTTAGGCTAGCCTGCCTACGATCCATCCTGGGTTTAACCAGGCTGGGTTGTGTGAGGAGCTCACAAATCCTTGAAAGATCTCGGCAAGGTCCCCTCGGTGAGCTCCTCCGGCAGGCAAGGCTGCGTTGGCTGGGTCATGTAGCCCGCATGCCCAGCCACCGCATGCCGAAACAGCTTTTGTTCGGCCGGATTGAGGGGGCTAAACGGGCGCGGCACGGGCTAGAGAAGAGATGGAGTGATGTGGTATAGGAGGACGTGGAGCTGAGTGGACTTGCCGATGACTGGTACCAGCGGTGTCAAGATCGGCCTCTGTGGAGGAGGCTCGTGAAGGATGCTACTGGGCAGTTGGAGGCAGTCGCCCTCCAACAACAACGGAGGGCGGAGGAGCGACGCTCAGAACAACGAGCGGAGCGCCGGGTGGCTAAAGCACAGCAGTTTGGCACAGTAGGGGGCACAGGTGGTGCATCAGCCAGTCATCTCAGTCAGTCGACCCGTGACACTTGGGTCTGCCCCATGACCTCCTGCCAGTGGGCGTTCGACACTTCACGTGGCCTCAAGGTGCACATGGCCTGGCACAAGCGTCGTGGTGACGTCACCGCCACTTAGTGGCGAATGGCGGTTGTTGTGTGTGTGTGCGTGCGTGTGTACGTGCGTGTATGTGTGCATGTGTGCGTGTGTGCGTGCGTGTGTGCGTGTGTACGTGCATGTGTGCGTGCGTGCATGTGTGTGCGTGTGTGCGTGCACGTGCATGTGCATGCGTGGGTGTGTGCGTGTGTGTGTACGTGCGTGTGTGGGTGATCGTACCGGACGCCAGGCCACTGTACACCTCGGTGAAGTGAGGGTCTCGCTCCGGCCCAAACAGCCCCTCGCTCTTGTCCAGGATCTTGCTGTGCTCAGCCACGCTGCCCGCCACCTAGCACGGCCATCGCCGGCAACATACAGCAACAGTCAACAAGATACAGCAACAGTCAACAAGATACAGCAACAGTCAACAAGATACAACAACAGTCAACAAGATACAACAACAGTCAACAAGATACAACAACAGTCAACAAGATACAGCAACAGTCAACAAGATACAACAATCAACAAGGTACAACAACAGTCAACAAGATACAACAATCAACAAGATACAGCAACAGTCAACAAGATACAGCAACAGTCAACAAGATACAACAACAGTCAACAAGATACAGCAACAGTCAACAAGATACAACAATCAACAAGATACAACAACAGTCAACAAGATACAACAATCAACAAAATACAACAACAGTCAACAAGACACAACAACAGTCAACAAGATACAACAATCAACAAGATACAACAACAGTCAACAAGATACAACAACAGTCAACAAGATACAACAACAGTCAACAAGACACAACAACAGTCAACAAGATACAACAACAGTCAACAAGCCACAACAACAGTCAACAAGATACAGCAACAGTCAACAAGACACAACAACAGTCAACAAGACACAGCAACAGTCAACAAGATACAGCAACAGTCAACTAGACACAACAACAGTCAACAAGACACAGCAACAGTCAACAAGATACAGCAACAGTCAACAAGATACAACAACAGTCAACAAGATACAGCAACAGTCAACAAGATACAACAATCAACAAGATACAACAACAGTCAACAAGCTACAACAATCAACAAGATACAACAACAGTCAACAAGACACAACAACAGTCAACAAGATACAACAATCAACAAGATACAACAACAGTCAACAAGATACAACAACAGTCAACAAGATACAACAACAGTCAACAAGACACAACAACAGTTAACAAGACACAACAACAGTCAACAAGATACAACAACAGTCAACAAGATACAACAACAGTCAACAAGCCACAAAAACAGTCAACAAGATACAGCAACAATCAACAAGACACAACAACAGTAAACAAGACACAACAACAGTCAACAAGATACAACAACAGTCAACAAGATACAACAACAGTCAACAAGATACAGCAACAGTCAACAAGACACAACAACAGTCAACAAGATACAACAACAGTCAACAAGACACAACAACAGTCAACAAGATACAACAACAGTCAACAAGATACAACAACAGTCAACAAGACACAACAATAGTCAACAAGATACAACAACAGTCAACAAGACACAACAGTCAACAAGATACAACAACAGTCAACAAGACACAACAACAGTCAACAAGACACAACAACAAACAACAAGACACAACAACAGTCAACAAGACACAGCAACAGTCAACAAGATACAACAACAGTCAACAAGATACAACAACAGTCAACAAGATACAGCAACAATCAACAAGACACAGCAACAGTCAACAAGACACAACAACAGTCAACAAGATACAGCAACAGTCAACAAGATACAACAATCAACAAGACACAACAACAGTCAACAAGACACAACAACAGTCAACAAGACACAACAACAGTCAACAAGATACAACAACAGTCAAGAAGACACAACAACAATCAACAAGACACAACAACAGTCAACAAGACACAGCAGCAGTCAACAAGACACAGCAACAGTCAACAAGATACAACAACAGTCAACAAGATACAACAACAGTCAACGAGATACAACAATCAACAAGATACAACAACAGTCAACAAGATACAGCAACAGCCAACAAGGTACAACAACAGTCAACAAGACACAACAACAGTCAACAAGACACAACAACAGTCAACAAGACACAACAACAGTCAACAAGACACAACAACAGTCAACAAGATACAACAGTCAACAAGACACAACAACAGTCAACAAGACACAACAACAGTCAACAAGATACAACAACAGTCAACAAGATACAACAACAGTCAACAAGCCACAACAACAGTCAACAAGATACAGCAACAGTCAACAAGACACAACAACAGTCAACAAGACACAACAACAGTCAACAAGATACAACAACAGTCAACAAGATACAACAACAGTCAACAAGATACAGCAACAGTCAACAAGACACAACAACAGTCAATAAGATACAACAACAGTCAACAAGATACAACAACAGTCAACAAGATACAACAACAGTCAACAAGACACAACAATAGTCATCAAGATACAACAACAGTCAACAAGACACAACAGTCAACAAGATACAACAACAGTCAACAAGACACAACAACAGTCAACAAGACACAACAACAAACAACAAGACACAACAACAGTCAACAAGACACAGCAACAGTCAACAAGATACAACAACAGTCAACAAGATACAACAACAGTCAACAAGATACAGCAACAGTCAACAAGACACAGCAACAGTCAACAAGACACAACAACAGTCAACAAGATACAGCAACAGTCAACAAGATACAACAATCAACAAGACACAACAACAGTCAACAAGACACAACAACAGTCAACAAGACACAACAACAGTCAACAAGATACAACAACAGTCAACAAGACACAACAACAATCAACAAGACACAACAACAGTCAACAAGACACAGCAGCAGTCAACAAGACACAGCAACAGTCAACAAGATACAACAATCAACAAGATACAACAACAGTCAACAAGATACAGCAACAGCCAACAAGGTACAACAACAGTCAACAAGACACAACAACAGTCAACAAGACACAACAACAGTCAACAAGACACAACAACAGTCAACAAGACACAACAACAGTCAACAAGATACAACAGTCAACAAGACACAACAACAGTCAACAAGACACAACAACAGTCAACAAGACACAACAACAGTCAACAAGATACAGCAACAGTCAACAAGATACAACAACAGTCAACAAGATACAACAACAGTCAACAAGATACAACAACAGTCAACAAGACACAACAACAGTCAACAAGACACAACAACAGTCAACAAGACACAACAACAGTCAACAAGACACAACAACAGTCAACAAGATACAACAACAGTCAACAAGACACAACAACAGTCATCAAGACACAACAACAGTCACCAAGATACAACAACAGTCAACAAGATACAGCAACAGTCAACAAGATACAACAGTCAACAAGACACAACAACAGTCAACAAGACACAACAACAGTCAACAAGACACAACCACAGTCAACAAGACACAACAACAGCCAACAAGATACAACAACAGTCAACAAGACACAACAACAGTCAACAAGACACAACAACAGTCACCAAGATACAACAACAGTCACCAAGATACAGCAACAGTCAACAAGATACAACAGTCAACAAGACACAACAACAGTCAACAAGATACAACAACAGTCAACAAGATACAACAGTCAACAAGATACAACAGTCAACAAGACACAACAACAGTCAACAAGACACAACAACAGTCAACAAGATACAACAACAGTCAACAAGATACAACAACAGTCAACAAGATACAGCAACAGTCAACAAGACACAACAACAGTCAATAAGATACAACAACAGTCAACAAGATACAACAACAGTCAACAAGATACAACAACAGTCAACAAGACACAACAATAGTCATCAAGATACAACAACAGTCAACAAGACACAACAGTCAACAAGATACAACAACAGTCAACAAGACACAACAACAGTCAACAAGACACAACAACAAACAACAAGACACAACAACAGTCAACAAGACACAGCAACAGTCAACAAGATACAACAACAGTCAACAAGATACAACAACAGTCAACAAGATACAGCAACAGTCAACAAGACACAGCAACAGTCAACAAGACACAACAACAGTCAACAAGATACAGCAACAGTCAACAAGATACAACAATCAACAAGACACAACAACAGTCAACAAGACACAACAACAGTCAACAAGACACAACAACAGTCAACAAGATACAACAACAGTCAACAAGACACAACAACAATCAACAAGACACAACAACAGTCAACAAGACACAGCAGCAGTCAACAAGACACAGCAACAGTCAACAAGATACAACAATCAACAAGATACAACAACAGTCAACAAGATACAGCAACAGCCAACAAGGTACAACAACAGTCAACAAGACACAACAACAGTCAACAAGACACAACAACAGTCAACAAGACACAACAACAGTCAACAAGACACAACAACAGTCAACAAGATACAACAGTCAACAAGACACAACAACAGTCAACAAGACACAACAACAGTCAACAAGACACAACAACAGTCAACAAGATACAGCAACAGTCAACAAGATACAACAACAGTCAACAAGATACAACAACAGTCAACAAGATACAACAACAGTCAACAAGACACAACAACAGTCAACAAGACACAACAACAGTCAACAAGACACAACAACAGTCAACAAGACACAACAACAGTCAACAAGATACAACAACAGTCAACAAGACACAACAACAGTCATCAAGACACAACAACAGTCACCAAGATACAACAACAGTCAACAAGATACAGCAACAGTCAACAAGATACAACAGTCAACAAGACACAACAACAGTCAACAAGACACAACAACAGTCAACAAGACACAACCACAGTCAACAAGACACAACAACAGCCAACAAGATACAACAACAGTCAACAAGACACAACAACAGTCAACAAGACACAACAACAGTCACCAAGATACAACAACAGTCACCAAGATACAGCAACAGTCAACAAGATACAACAGTCAACAAGACACAACAACAGTCAACAAGATACAACAACAGTCAACAAGATACAACAGTCAACAAGATACAACAGTCAACAAGGTACAACAACAGTCAACAAGATACAACAGTCAACAAGACACAACAACAGTCAACAAGATACAGCAACAGTCAACAAGATGCAACAACAATCAACAAGACACAGCGACAGTCAACAAGATACAACAACAGTCAACAAGATACAGTAATAGTGAGTGAGCTTAAACAGTTACAATCGGTACGC